CACCCCAGGGCCATCGGAGCACCCACCCACCTTTCTCCTTGTTGAGCCAGCGGATGAAGCGGCCGTAGTTGTGGGGTTTCAGCAGCAGCTCTTTGAGGAACTGCCAGAGGTGGATGGGTTGCCCAGCACAGGATGAGTCCACCTCACTGTCTGCCCAGCTGGCATCACCTCCTGCCATGGGAAGCGATGGGTGAGATGAGGGAAGGAGAGATATCACTGGTTTGTGTTGCACTGGGGACCCACATGAGTCCTCATCCAGGTTGGATGAGGCTTTGAGCAACCTGGTCTAGTGGAAGGTGTCCCTGCTGCTGGCAGGGGGGTTGGGACTGGATGAGCTTTAAGGTCCCTCCCAACCCAAACCAGTCTGGGATTCTGTGATTCTATGAGTCCTCATCCAGGAAATCCCAGCTCGATGCCTGTGGGGCTCCAGAGACTCAGCCCAGGCACCAGGTCTGGAAGCACCACTTTCTCCTGCCCATCTTGGAGCAGGGAAAACAGCCCAGTCCTGTCCTCACACAGCCCCACAGGAATGCACGGGGTGTGGGATGGGACTGGTGAGGGTCCCACAGCCATTTCCCCTTCACTGCACCCCACAGAGAGCCCGGGGGCTGCTCCGGGGCAGCAGGACTGCAGCCACACAGACACTGCTGCAGCAGCCGCTCCAACGCACCAGATAATTGCAATTAATGGGGGAGTGACCTTGGAAATGCCCTGGACCTGTCTGGGGCAGAAGCGAGGCCAGTGGAGCTGAGCCCGTGCAGAACTCACCGCAGTATCTCACATCTCCGGGGGCAGCTTTTTCCTTCATCCAGGCGGCTGGAAGGGAGGAGTGGGTGGTCAGAGGGGCATCTCCCATTGCACCCACCCTCCCCAGCTCCCTCCCAGTCCCCAGCACCTACCAGACTTCCAGATGTCGAGGTGGGCGTGCAGGATGTCACCGCAGGTGGGTGAGCGCTGGCAGAACTGCTCCTCGGACATGGCACACAGGTCCTTTCCCGACAGCTCCTGGAAGGATTTCCCAATCTGCGGGAGCCGGTACTGGTGCTCGGTCCACAGGATCCACTTCTGCACGTTGCCTGGGCTCCAGTCTGCAGGGTCTGGAGGGAAAGGGTGATGATGGCAAAGCCCTGGGAAACTCAGCTCATCCCACAGCAGCCCTGGGAAGCCAGCCCTGCTGCAGCATCACCCTCCAAGGTGGGAGCACCCTGCTCTCTGCCTGCCCTGCTCATGGGGACAGGACCTCCCCCTTCACTTTGGGAAGCCTCATCCAGCCTTTTGGAGTCCTGTTTGCTCCCCACTCCATCCCAGGTGACACCAAATGCTTTAGGGGAGCAAGTGGCAGAGCTGGAATGAACTTAAGCACATCCTGTGTCACTGCGGTGATGCCCCGAGCAGAATACCCCAGCCATGCCCCACAGCAGTGATACCCCAAGGAGGGTACCCCAGTGATGCCCCACAGCAGTGATACCCCAAGGAGGGTACCCCAGTGATGCCCAACAGCAGTGATACCCTGAGGAAGGTACACCAGCAGTAATACCCCAGGGAACTTGATCCTGGGCTGTCCTGTTCCCCTTGCACCCAATCCCCCACCCATCTCAGACAGTGTCAGCTGGTTTCAGCCCATCCCCAGCCCCACACGCTCATCCACCCACTCCTAATGTCCCAGGGAAAATGGGATAGAGAAAAGGATAATAAAAGTCCCTCTGTTTCCTCCTTGCTACCCCACACTATCCCCAAGATGTGTGCAAGGCTGGAAGGCATCAATAATGATGCCCTGGAGGGGAAGGGACCCCCAGTTCAGGGGAGGGGAGGGGCTCAGAATCGGGTCATTGTGTCCCCACATCTCCCTGACTCTGCAGCACCAGCTGGGTCACACCAGCACCCCACACCCTGCACCCCACACCCAGCACCAGGCTCTGTGTAAAGCTCTGCTAACCCCTCCTCAGCTTAGCTCTGAGTCAGCGAGGGCAGAGGGGTGTTTTGGGGGTACCCCTGGGTGTTAGCAAACAGCCTTGCCCTGGGGTGATGCCCAGGAGATCCAAGCAGCAGCCACGCTCCCCCAAACCCCACAGCGCCTGGTTGCAAACCCCCGAGCAGCAGCACAGCTCTGGTCCTCACACTGTCACATCCCTCCCTCACTGCACCCCACATCGGGGCCATCTCTGCCTGCAGCCCCCCGGGGAGGGCTCTGGGGTGACCCACCTGCGGCGATGTTGAGGAGCTTGCAGGCTGTCTCAATGTCCTTCAACACTTCACCCACCACCATGCTCTGGACCTGCTCCAGCGAATGCTCCTCCAGGTGCAGGCTGGTCTGCAGGTCCCCCTCGGTCCCCAACCCCAAGCCCTGGCTGTCGATGATGGGACATTGCTCCGGTTCCTTCTGCACCTCCCCACGCCCACCTTGGGCACCACTTTGGGATGGTTCCCCCATGCCCTTGGTGGCCCAGGTGATGTCCTCGGAGTAGAGCATGTCGAAATAGTGCAGGCAGAAAGCAGGCAGGGGCTGCTCGGGGGTGGCAGGGGGACTGGGACGATCCGGACAGCCCCAGCTCCGGGTGTTGGGGTCCCGTGGAGGTGGCAGCAGGGCAGCGTCTGGCCGGGTGAGGCGGTTGGGGGGCAGAACAGTCAGCCCAGGGCTGGCACTGCCCATCCCTCTGCTCAGCTCCAGACCTGCCAGGAGAGAGGAGAAGAGAGGAGAGGTTCACCCCAGCACTGATTCCTGCCTTCCCGCCCAGCAGCCAGGCACAAAGGGAGGAATTAAGCCTGTTAGAGGGGAAAAAAAACCTCCTAAGAGACCCACGGTGCCCTGAGAGCCCCCGGATGACACAGGCTCGGGGGCAGCCATGGGGCTGGGGGGGGGTGGGTTTGTTTTTGGGAGAACAGCACCCGAGGGA